TTATTATTATCAGTGGTCAATTGTTGTACTTTGCAATAAGTAACTTTAAGCTTATATACTACTTAACTGCCCCCCTATGCACTGGTGTTTTGTGACCTGCAGTGGGATCCCAACCCCAATTTTGGGAACAAAACAAAAGTAATCTAACAGTGTTGTGCTAAAATTCTTCAGTTATTCTTCATTTAATTTTTTAAACCTTTGAGCATTGGTTCTTTATTCATTTTCAGTCCAGTAAGTAACAAATTTACGAGGAATATTTTCATTGTCGTTTGGTGTTAGCTTGTTAAGCCACTTAACTCTGGCCTACAAATCATTTACGCAGAACAGAGACCTCTGAGCTCAAGGGATGAACTCGTGTTGTGTCTATACAACTTGGCATAGACCCAGTTAGGACCAAGAAAACAAAAGGATTTGAAGGCACTTTGTTTTCCCTGTCACAAAACACAATTTATCCCAATTTCTTTAGCTAAATCTCTGAAAAATACCACCAGTGACTTTTGATGGGCATCAATTAATATTTTCACACCATCTGGTTAGATCTCATTTTATCACCATCATCTCAAACTGGACCAAATCCACACACCTAACAAATTCTCCACTGGACCAGAATTTTCCTATATCCCAAAGCTTTAAGATCTGACACTATCTGAATTACACTGACTCTGCTAGGCAAACAAGTCAATGTGATTTTTATGGTCCGGTGTTACAACAACACTGCGTTAAGCCTGGAATGCAAGTAGAAACATGTTTATGTAAATTTGTTTTTGGAGAGATGAGATAATATGCATCACAAGATTACTGAATGTGTGTGTGCGACATTAAAATCTGTTTTAAAGGCAAACATCAAAATAGTTTTTGGTTGGTTGTATGTTTTATTTTTGAATTTGAAACAAACTGTTAACTTCCACAAGCTGCATATTTGACATGATCCAATTCACTCAGATGGCTGCTTATTGATTAGTCCGATAAAAAGTGTGGTCAACTGTGTGAATTTTGACTGAACACAATAAATCCAGTTTACTTAGAAGTGTTTCTGTGTACTTGAATGCCTCCATGTATAACTACAGAAACAGTGACATCTAGTGGCGAGACTGTTCATTACGCTTACAAAATAAAGCAAAGTTGTGCTTTTTTTGGGAGGGGAATGGGCGCTTAGTAAATCAAGTCACAGAAACAAATAATAATTATTTTGAGTTACTGATTCATATTAATATCATGCTAATATCAGAAATGAAAAGCTATGAATCGGACCTGGCTATGATAAGTATGCGAAGTCAGTGGACTAAATGAAACAGCATTTCTATTAATCCATTTTAATTAGGATATTGTTACTTAATCGCTTCCATAAGTGGACAACGGGTCGGGAATATTTCTATTTTGTCCTTATTTTTGGTAAATTATTAAATAATATTTTTTGTGTTGGTAAAAAGACGCGTGTTTCTAGACAAAAATACACTATGGAAAACAAAGAGTGTTGACATTCAAGAGAGTACCTGCCCTGCATTTTGTGTTTACATAGTTGTGTAATAATTAATAAATGGAGTAACATAAATTAAAATGAATTTCCACCACTTGTCACTATAAAACTTTACATTTCAGTTTTACAAATGCAGCTAACATTTTTTACAACTGTGATTTTTCACGGCCGAGTGCTCCGCGACCCCCTTCGTCTTTCGCAAAAACCGGAAGTGGTGACGGTGTAGTATTTCGTTCCGGATGGGTGCTTTTGCTCCATCGAGCCAGTTCCTACTAGGACGAGTGGAGCCCAGGACCAAAACAAAAACATCTCTCAACGCAGTAGCTCTTGTGTTGTCAGTGGCAGGTCGCGGAAATCTCTTTCTGCTGTCTCATCATGCTACTGAAGTCCTGCTGCGTTTACAGCACCGGAGTGGTTTCTGTCTTGTTGCTGATAATCGGTATTGCTTTAGTTTTGTCTGGCGTGTTTCCAAATCTTCTGCAGTCGGTGGTTAAAAAGGTAACCTTTTAACTCCTCTTGTTTTAGCTTTAGCTTTGATATGCTAGCATTAGCTCTAGCATTAAAATAATCAGTTTGATGTTATCTTGTGAGTTTTTTCATGAAAATTGTAGCTAGTTTTATGGATTTTTTTTCAGGCTTTTTTTCCTCCCCTCAAAATAAATTCCGTCTGTTTATCTCATGTTCATGTAGCCAGCTTGAATTACACTTGTTGGTTAGATGTAAACAACGTAGTTTGGTAAACATTAACTGACTTAGCATAAAATATGAAAATGAATTGAACCAAAAGAATTGTATATAATTATGTCAGTTGACTATAATGAATTTGCTGCAACATTCATATGTAGTTTAAAGGTTATGTAAGTTCATAACTGTTTTCACCCAAAAATAGTGCCCTCCTGCTTTGGTCATCACGTTTTATTAAATAGTTATTTCACCCTGTCATGTCATGTGATGTGAAACAGCTCATCATCAGCACATAACTCATCATTTTTCACCCACTGCCCTTTGTCCTCGACAGGAAGTGCTTCTGAAAAATGGAACAGAGGCTTTTGGAGCCTGGAAAGATCCTCCTGCACCTATCTACATGCAGTTTTACTTCTTCAATGTGTCAAATCCACAAGAGGTGCTGGCTGGGGAAAGGCCTGCTGTGGTGGAGATTGGGCCATACACATATCGGTAAGAGACCGACATCTCGGCAGCTTTTTCTTTCGACTTGGGAGGCCCAACATGTGACATAAATGTTTTCAAAGTTAAAAAATAAAAAAATAAATCGCTCAATATATCTGACTCCCCCATTAATCAGAAATATTTCAGCTGAACTTAAACAGTTGCCACAAATAATATGAGCAAACTCTGGGTTTCTGTTAAGGTTTAAAGGTGCTTTGATTCAAGTTTATATTTTAGAAGAAAATAAAAGTATAACAGGATTTTTCCACCCGACATATTCAGTGTGAAGGCAAAACAAAGAGTTTTCTGGAAACGGGGTAAACCAGTTTTACAAAATGCTGCCTACAGAAGTTTTATTTCCTAAAACAAAAAATTCCACACTAATATTTTGTTTGACCACCTTTCACTTTATTCTTTACATAACGTATATAGGCTATGCCACAACACTTCGGATACATATTTACATTATATACTGACTTTTATTTCTTTATCAGTACAGATATTGCAGTGATCATTTGTTTGGACTGTCTATTTATGTCATCTTTCAGTGATGATGTCCTTTTTGGTTTTGTACAACAGTTTGTCAAGGACAGAGTAACTGCAAACCTAAAGCAGTTCTATGTTTTTGTTTCCAAAGATTTTATTATTTTTTTTTTTTATTTACGCGTTACTCAGCATTAATGTTCCAAGAAAAACACTTGTGTCACTCTACCCGGTCTTCTTGTACACCAGGTGTTATCTTCTAAAATCGAACTTGGATTAAAAAAATGTTCAAGGTGGAAAGTAATTTATGACTTGGTAGCATTTCAGCAATTTTGGGATCCTTAAATAGAGCTTAAAGTAAGCACAAATATCTGTTTATTTTTTATTTTAAAGTAGGGCCGGGCGATATGGCCCAAAAAAATCGGATTTTTTTCATCTGAAATTCAATTTTCGATTTTAATCGATTTTTTTTCCTACTTAACGGAGTGCCTCTTGTTTCAGATGTTGAAAAGAAAATTTTTGTACTCCTGCTTTTTATGTAGCAAGAGCCTTCAAACAGATTTTGCAGTGAGGTGTTTGTTGCTTCAAGTCAAGGTTGTGAAACCTAACCAGTTCCAGATAACTGAAGAACAGTGCCTTTTTTGGAAGTAGATCCTCTTTGCTAGCTGCCATATTGTCATGTCATGTACCAAGCATCTTAAGGGACAGGTGGCGTGACCTCTGAACTATAGAAGCCCCACTGGTTGGAAAAACATCTCGATTTTCCCAAAATTAAACCTTCATAAATGGCAAATTCGAATTAATCGATGAAATCGATTTATCGCCCAGCCCTATTTTCAAGTTTTAACAGCTGTAAAGTACATGCCATCAAATGTATTTTCTTTCAAGCAGGCCCACAAAAACAATCTCAGTGGAAGAATCTATGTAAAGGTTGTTTTTATGCCTAACTGTCATCACAAATGTTGAAATCTTTTTGTGCAGAGAGTACCGGCCCATGGAGGAAGTGATGTTCCAGGATAATGGCACTAAAGTAGCAGCCGTCAATCCCAAAACCTACATTTTCCAGCCTGACATGTCCCGAGGTCCAGAAAGTGACCTCATCAGGACTATTAACATCCCTGCCATGGTGAGAAAAAAAAGTGTATTTATTTATTTACTATACATATCAGAGGTTGCGTTAACGGAATATTTTCCGTATTTGACCGTTTTTTTACACAATGATGGAAAAAACTGAAGGCCGTTCGTCATTTTGACAGATTGCAATTAACACCACTGACCTCTTAAAACCTGGTTTATACTTCGAGTCACACGTCTTTTCCCCCTGCTGAGTAAAAAAAAAAATTTGCGCAACTTCAGTCTGCTCTGCTGTCCTCCGGTGACAGCCGTCTTGTGCATGGCCTCTAGTCAGAACTGTGTCAGCGAGATGTTGTGGCTCTCAGTAGGTGGAAAAAGTGTGATAGGTCCAGAGTTTGTGGGCGTGTTTGTTCATCAGGAGCACCGCAGAGGGCCCAGTGGTCCTCAGCTGTGGCAGCGCCGAGGAGTTGGGGCTGGACCAGAACAGGACCCGAGCAGCTGAATTCCTTCTGCGTGTTATTTTGTTTAAAATGATACTTTTTGTCTGAAGCCAGTTTTAAAAAGAGCTCAAAGAGCAGCTGGTTTGATCCAGATCCTAAGGATGAACGTGAGCGCGCAGCTAGTCGCGTCACCGTAAAAAAAAAAAAAACGGCTTTACTTCACTCAACTTAAAACTGATGTTGAGTGGAAAAAACACTCTCCAGCCATTGTTATTGTAGTTTATATACTTTATATGAGCTGTTGGGAGTGCAGAGGGAGGATTTATGAAAAGGATTTATGATCATTTCTGGCCCACTGCGTCTTCAGCCCTTTTATACTCGGTCAGGAAAAGGCGCTGAAATTGTGCAATCGTCAACCTGCTGTCTCACCTCTTATTAAAGTATCCAGGCTTAAAAGTCTGGAAGACTTAATACAGTGGTTTGCAAAAGTATTCATACCCCTTGAACTTTTCCATATTTTGTCACATTACAACCACAAACATAAATATATTTCACTGGAATTTAATG